AATAATTTTATTTTGAATTTTTTGGGAGTAATTCTTTCATAGGGCAAAAATCACGTGCTTACACAAGCCAATGGGAAGATTTGTTATTTGTGGCTTGAATTATTTCCTTGTATTTTTAGGAAACTCATAGTCCCTATAGGTTTAGGAAAACTCATTGTCCTAATAGATTTTGGAAAGGAATTGAGAAACCTTTCTCATATATGTTTGGGACCTTTTGGGATCTATATATAGGGATTGTATTTGGGGATTCTATAGATTGTATTGTGTTTTTCTTCTCATTCATAGTGGAAAACTCTCTTTCTTTTGCCCCGAGGATTAGGCTTAGCCGAACATCGTTAAATCCTTGTGTTGATTTTTTTTCTCTATTTACTTTGTGTGAGATTGTGTGCTAGTTAACCCACGATATTCCGGAACAGGTTGTTACCTTAGAAGACCAGGGAATGTTAGCATCATAAACAAAGCACTTAACTGGGTGTTCTGTTTGTTCTTGATCCATAATGAATTTAGTTAGGTTTGTTGGGCCACTGGCCTGGAATCTGTCTAGAAATCCTTTGAAACCCTCTGGGCCGACCAGCCCGCCTTCAGAGCAATCATCGTATATAGATGTAAAAGTGATTATGGAGTCAGATAAAGCAGCTTTCAAGGCCATGGAATTGGAGAGCGTGGTAGCTACTGTGATTTTGATCCCTTTGGAAGCCAGGCGTTTTGAGAATTGGAGCATTGGGTTTATATGGCCCTGTCCCTGAACTGCTAGCACCACAATATGACGTGCTTTCTCAACCCTTTCTTGCTCCATGGTCTGCACTCTGCCAGAAAACTTATGCAATGACAAGCCACTTTGCTCTAAAGAAAGGAAGATGTCAAAAAGACTCAAAACTGTCCGCAAGTCTTTCCTCCCTTTTTTTTCTCTAATGTTCCTTTCTCTAACAAGAAATTGTTGGTTTTATTGTTTCTTCTGCTTATGATTTCTTGCTACAACATCAAGATAGCCTACTATGTTGACAGAGATAAGCCGTCTGTTTACATTGATAACATCGAGTGGGGCCAGACATAATAGACTTCTATTCTATTTGAAATGAAAGCTGTCTTTTAGTACTTTGGCTAGTAAAAGGAGTCCATCAAAAATGGAAGCCGTCCCTCTATTTTCTTCTTAAAGAATGTAATCATTAGGACATTTGTATATATTTGTTGTCCATTTATGTTCTGTATGTTTTGTCCTTTACCTTCTATTTTCTCCTATCAAATTACAACATGTGCTTGCATTCAAATGTCAGATTCCAAGAGAGACAAGTACAAGTGTACAACGTATGTGTAAACAAATTTGTGTGTAAACAAATTTGTGTGTAAACCTAAAAGACCAACAAAAAAAGAAGGCAAATGAATACCAAAGTGATAAAATTGTAAGTATCTGTAACCTCTATCAAATCCTTTGACTCGTCTTAAGAAGGAATTTGAATGCCAGCTTGATTTCAGAGTTTGCTAAGATATTGTATTATTCTTCACGAACACTTAATGATCCCCAAAAACAATAATTTTCAGTGGCTTGGATCAATCCTAAATAAGGCCACTTCAAAGAATTCTATTAAAAAGTGGCTGGTCTAGTTATTAGGGGAAACGCTCCGCACCAAATATTAGGGGAAAACACCTTTACATGTATATCTGCTATCACAGAGCATCCTGAAAAAACATACAGCTGATCAGAATGGTCACGAACAGAGAGCACCACTTGAATTTATTGAGTCCAATTAGATCCCAGAAAAAGCAGCTCACTTGCTAAAGATACAAATGTGCCAACCAAGGAGCATCGCGGAAAACTAAGTCTGCCTTCAGCTCTATGCTTGTTTTAACCAATGGATGTGAAAGATCGTCAACTTAAATATGGTTGACAAATGGATTATACTCACTGTAGGACATGAAGGTGCCCATCTATAGATGAGTTGCAAGCTGTACTCCTGCAATCAAAGAAAAACATCATATTTTTCAGAGAAAACAGGTAAACACGGAAAGTTTCAGCATGTAGATACAGGAAATGCCCCAAACCGTAAGAAAAATCAAAATTCTAGCTAAAAGGAATGATGAGTGGTTATAATCAAAGACCAGACAACGGAGAGAACGCAGTACAATGAATTCATAAAACTTGAAACCAATGACAACGTAAAACCTAAAGAGAATCCCATCAACTAAACTCATTCAACTTAAAAGAAATAAAAAGGCAAGAAATGTGGGGTCGAAGTTCCTAGGAACATCTAGATCAAATAGTGCGAGAAATATTATTTCAATAAAGTGCGTGCTATAGAAACTTGTATCATGGAAACATATTTCTTCGCTAATATGCTTGAGGATTCTAGAAACTCAACTGTATCATTTCCCAAGCAGAGAGTCACTCAACCCTTTGGCATTTCCATTATTCACAAACTGGGAGCATCAAGGAGCTGCAAGTTCTTTGTTTGGTAGTTACTCAATCGTGTATAACTATAAGATATATGCAATCTCTATCTCGTTAGTTCATTATGCCTTAAGTATCTAGAAGGTATCCAATGAGCATTCACCATCAGGGAACACAAAGCAGAAACGTTCACAATGCACATCCATTTTCAAAATGCCAGTCAAACAAGACGTAGCAACATATTCCTACTTCAGCATTGAAGTCTTACATTTTAATGCCCGAAGATGCTATAACTTTTCCTTGGCAACAAAACCACTTCCAGAATGACTTCTTCAAATCTCCACAGAAACCAAGACACTCATTAGGTGACAGTAATCATTATCCCATATCTCACCAATAATTCCCACATGAGCATTCACCATCCCTGAAATGATGAAACCTATTTCCATCTCTGACGATGATTTCACTTGCCTCAACCTTCGACATGAATTTAATTGCATTGTGGCAGTCACCACAAATCCGTAGGTTCTTGAAGACCCTAATTGTGGCTCCACGAGGAAGTTTCAAGAGCCCAAATACAACTGCCAGCTTTTCACTATGAGTTGATATAGCATACTCCTTTTGCTCAGCCTCCATATCCTGCAACACATATTGTGTGTCTGGAACATATCCCATTTTCCTCATCTTCAGTCTTAACTCCTCCAGATAGTTGTACACTGCTTGAATTTCAGGATGTGCAGTATCATCCACCAAAAAGACATGAACTGTATTCTCAACCTTAATCCAACTACATCCGGGCTCTTTTTTCACCCCTTGGTCTCTCATCAGTTTTCGTACTTTAGCAGCATCATCCCACCGGCCTGCAGCAGCAAAGGTGTTAGCCAAAAGTATGTAGGTTCCATCATGTTGTGGCGTCAACTCAAAGAGTTTTTCTGCTGCTTCAACCCCCAAATCCACGTTCCTATGAGTTCGGCAACCAGCAAGAAGAGCTTCCCACATGGGTGCCCCAGGTTTAGTAGGCATAGTCTGGATCACATCTTTTGCTTCTAATAACCTTCCAGCTCGAGACAACAAATCAATTAAACGGGCATAGTGATCTTCTCCTGGATTTATTTTGTAAACACTATGCATTATATTAAAGTAGTGTCGTCCCCTTTCTACCAATCCTGCATGACTACAAGCAGATATAACTGTGAGAAAGCTGATCCTATCAGGAGTTATATGTTCATTTAACATCTGTTCAAAAAGTTCTATGGCTTGAGCACCATATCCATGCTGTCCCAAGGCAGCAATTAATGCATTCCAAGAAACCAAATCTACACAAGGCATTGTGAGAAACACAGTACGTGCAGCTTCAATGACCCCAGATCTTCCATAAAATGTTATTAATGCATTTCCAGCTGAAAGGCTTGAATCAAATCCACGCTGGATAAGCTGAGCATGGAGTTGGCATCCAGTTTCTAGTGCTGCAAGCACTGCACAAGATGTAATAGCTCCTGCAAATGCATAGTCACACAGCTCGATCCCGTGTAGTCTCATTTGGTTGAACAGTTTAAGTGCTTCTTCCCCTTTTCCATTTTGTGCAAATCCTGATATCATTACTGTCCATGCCAGAGAATTCTTCTCTGGCATCTCATCAAAGAATAATTTAGCTTCATTAATCCGCCCTGCACCTACATATGCTGATAGAACTGCATTCCACGAAACAAGGTCCTTAAAGGCTAGATTATCAAAAACTTTTCTTGCTTCGTCGACTCTACCACATTTCCAATATAATGTTATTAAAGCGTTATGCACAGACACATGAATTTCCTCTTCTGTTCGTCTAACATAAGCATGCACCTGTTTTCCTAGAAGAAACAATCCAGCATCGGCACAAGCACTGAGGATACTAGTGCAGGTAAACTCATCTGGCTTCAACCCTGCTGAGTGCATTTTCCTTAACATATCTAATGCTTCGAAGATGAAACCTTTATGTACATACCCAGAGATCATTGCATTCCATGCCACAAGCAACTTCTCATCCATACCATCAAACACCTTCCGAGCAGCATCAAGGTCATCATTCTTCACATACCCTGTGATAATCGTAGTCCAGGACAAGTCATCCCGCTCTGACATCTCATAAAATAATTTGCTTGCTGAGTCCATCAACACCACGGATGACGCTATGGGTGATGAAGCACATTTTACATAGACTGATATAAGTGCATTGACGACGCACTTAACTGACGCCATGCCCGACTTCACAACAGCACAATGCAGCTGCCCGCAGTGCATTTCATGATCAGCTATAAGGGCTAAAGCTGCAAGCACCGAGGTGTAGGTGTACTCATCAGGCTGAAAACTTTTCCACCTCATATCAAGAAATAGTTTTATAGCAGCATGGCCATCATTGTTGTGTGAATAGCCTGTAATCATAGCGTTGTAACAAACAGTGTCGCGGATGCTTAATGGGGTTTTATTAAAAACCTCTCTTGCAAGCTTGGGGTCACCGGAAGCAGAGTATGCAGCAATAATTGTTGTTCTTGCCACGACGTCTGGTTGGGGAATTCTATCAAACAGGTGCTTTGCATACGCAAGGCCGGAATTTTTGCAGTAAATGTCGATTAAGCGATTAAGGATGTGGCTTCGTGGCCTGAATCCGGAGGTAATCATGTTGCCATGGATTGATCGAACAAGAGCAAAAGCTGAGCTGGCATACTTTTTCTCTCGGCAAAGAAGTTGGAGCTGGACTGCGTAAAAGTTGGCAATGGTACGAGTATCTGATTGGTTTAGCAAAGACGTTTTGACGGCAGCAGCCGCATTTTTCATGACTGAAAAGGTAAAGATAGGGAATTTCACTAGTGTGAAATGTCTTACAAAGTATCATTCAGAGTCAAACAATGAAAATCAAAGAGAGAACTTTTAATCCCACTTGTTGAAGACACCCGAACGAAGAAGAGTGCCGTGGAAACTAGGATGAGAACTTGGCAAAATCAAATCCGAAGTATGATCTTTTTGCAATGTAATGAAACTAAAGAAATGTGCGTTTAGTTCCTTTTCCTCCCCTGCTTCCAACAACGTCAATGTATCCTACTTGTATATTCGTCCTGTTGCACTTTCTTCTGACAAGTTTTTGGGCTCTAAAGTTGCGAATACATAACTGAAACTTCAAATACAAACACTCCCCACTTTCTGCTGTCTAAGTTTTGTCGCGGAGCATCATATCATAGTAAAAAGCATCACTCAGGAAGAATATGGCAATTGGCTTTTGCTCATCAAACAATTAGTAAACTCAAATCCACCTCGCGAGAAGTCGTACTGATCCAGTTAAAGGCTTCGAATGAAATAATACAATGACTTTTCCAGATTCTCCTCCCATGAAGTAGGAAAATTACTGACTTACTGTAACTCAGGGCTGTCCATGTTGGGATCGAAATAACATGGTGCATGCGGAAACTAACAATACAAAGCTTGGTGGACGATAAATCAGACGACAAAAGAAAAATATATTAAACTAAGCATAATAGTTTATAATGGTTTGGTCAATTAATCTACATATGATAAAACTAATATAAAAGAAGAAAAACTATCGAGAGAAAAATCTCTCCCTAAACAAATTCTTTAATGACTAAATTGTAGATATTTTTTGTTGTACTATTGTGAGAAGTAGAGATCCTTAATTTATAGATATGCAAAACTTGTCTTCCAAGAAAAGGATAAGACATATTAAGGAAATTTAATCCTTTTAGGAGTCTTTTTCCATTCCTTTAAGAAAGAGAGTCCTAATAGATTAGAAATTCAGGACAAATCCTAACAATCTCCCCTTGGCCTGAATTTTCTTGACAAAGTTGATTCACCTTCTTCACATAATCTTCGTCACTGTTGCTTGCCATGATTAAAAATCGGTAAAGGTTGAAAATCTTGATATTGAATCGAAGAAGCCCAAGTATGGGTTAAAAGGATCTCACGTGTTAAGAATAAACATGGGGTAAAAGAAGCTCATGCATTAAAAAGAAGCGTAAGTTAAAACCGGCATTGGAACTCATGCGTTACAAGTATGCATGACTTAAAAATGGCATTGGTTAAAAGTGGCCAAAATATGGGTTAAAAAGAGAGATGCAGCAGCA